GTGTTGGCAGTGGTGACTTCTGGTGGTGGGATGAAAGTGGGTTGTAATTTTTTTCCTTTTGCTTATCTGTTGTTTCCTAATTTCCTACCATGAACAGATATTCCCCGATTAATTTTTTAGAATTTTTATTGAAGTATATCTTCATGAATTTATAAAAATAGTTAAAAAAAAATAGTTCCCCAGTGCTTCTCAGGAGCATGAGATTGAAGGAACAAGTATGGTAAACTCCAAGTCAGAGAGATTTAGCAGTACCTTCCCTGTCCCAGCTACGGCCCTGCCGTGGCACCCAGGCCAGCCATCAGCCAACTCTGGGAGGCTCGTCTTTGCTCCTGTCTCTCCCTTTTGGTCAAATAAAAGCGAAAGACATTTTCAGAAACATGCAAGTTAGGGAGAAGGACTTGGGGCAAGTTAAGCCAGTAGACATTGTATACCTTGTCTGGAAAATAGGTACAACCATATGGCCTTCGGGGTGGTGAGATTACACATGGAAAACCCAGCACAGGGCTGGCACCTCACAGGTCCTCAAGCAGACCTGAGCACCTGCTGGTGAAGTTCTTTCACTTAATAGACAATTACTGGTTTCAGCTTTGGGCTGGGCCCTGGATTGGAGGCTGTGGATATAATGATAAGATGCTGATCCAGCTCTAAAGGAGCTCCCTGTCTGTGGGAGAAGGCAAATAACAATAGTGAAAGCAGCTAACATCTATTAAATGTTTTGTGCTAGACATTCTTCTGAGCACTTTGTATTTACATATGGGTACTTTTCATCCCTATGGCGATCTCTGAGGTAGATTATCTCAATAACTAGTTTGTAGTCTGTCCTCCTGGTCACAGAAGTCTGTTCATCCCTCTGTCAGAGCCCATATCTGTGCTCTGGTAATAGATCTGTATGTATATGTACAGGGGGAAGAGCTTGGGTGCTGGAATCAGATTGTCTGGGTTCAAAACCCAGCTCCGCCAATAATGGGCAACATATTTGATCTCTCAGTGCCTCAGTTTCTTTGTCTGTAAAATAAGGATAATCATAGTTGTTACCTCGTAGGTTATTGTAAGGAAAAGAGTGAATGTATCTAAAGCACTTAGAACGGTGTGTGGCATGTGAGAGAGTAATCAATGCTGCCGTTGTTCTTTGTCTCCTCCCACAGACTGGGAGCTCCTTGAGGGCTGGGTCACTATCTTATTAATTGTTGTATTTTCAACTCGCAACCCAGGGCCTGCCACAGGGTTGAAGTCCATAATATCTGTTAAGTAAAAGAACCAATGTATCACTGCTCATATGTTCTGAGGTGGAGAGGGCGGGGGGGATTCCCTTCATGAGTAGACATCAGGTTCCCCCAAGAATGATGGTGGTGGAGGAATCTGGGCCCTCCTAGAGCAGACAGAGTTCAAGAAACAGTAAACGTGAGAACCAGAAGGGACTTCCCAGACCATAGTTCAACTGTCCCATTTTACGGATGGGGAGCCCGAGTCTCAGGGAGTTAATGTGACTTAGTCATGCAGCTCATTAGCATTGGAGGAGATTTTTAGGGATTGTGGGCCCTTTGTCTTAACCTCAAATTCCACCGCATGGGCAATTAGACGAACTTTTGTATTTTCATTCAATTTCACTAAGTTTTATTGAGTGCAGGTGCCTTGTACTAAGCTCATGAGAGACAGAGGTGAGATGGGCTGAGGGAGCATCCAGACTTGGGCAAGAGAGACATTAAATAAGCAAATACAAGTGTGAGGAGGGGGCCCAGGGAAGAATGAGAGTTTGTTGCGTTTCCATCTGTAGATGTTGAGAGACTGAAAAGCCGAGTGAGAACGGTGGGAGAACAGGAGTTCTTTAGAAGGAGGCCTGAGCAAGCCCGTGGAGGTCAGCCTTGGGTTAGGACTCTGGGCCTCCCGGGGAAAGGAAGCCCCTCTTCTCCCATGCAGCATGCACACCCGGGGGAAGCAGGGCTTGTGCCTGCTGGGGCGTCATCGGGCGGATGCAGTGGGAGCCTAGAGAACGAGTCTCCACCCTCCCGGTGCAGGCAGCACCTCCCCACCAACCTTCCTGAGAGCTGCCCAACCCGCACAGCCCCGCCCCAGGCCTCCTGGCCCAGTGGGAGAGTGGGATGTTGTTTTAAGAAGTGTAATTTTGCTCTGCTTGAGGCACAATTATGAATTCACATAATAACAGATCTCTCAGTATGATGGAAATGCATAGCGTGGCTCATGGGTGGGAAAAATCATAGCGGGTGCAGTGCCGTTAATCTTCCACCTGGGAGTAGCTTTGCTTTAAGCATCCATTACTTAGGGAGCCTGGGGATGTAGGGAGGGAGGGCCGTGTGTGGGTAGGAACCAGCAATGACGAGGAAATGTCAGAGGCAATGTGGTGCAGCAGGACATGCAAGGAACAGGAGCTGGGGGAGCAAGGCTCTGCCACTTCCCCTCTGGGTGACTTTGGGTAAGTCATTCCCTCTGCCTCCACCTCCTCACCTATAAAATAGAGCTTGAATCAGATTGTCCCCTGAAGTCCCCTCAGGCTTTGCAGTTCTGTTCAGGATGTTCTATGCATTGTGAAGAAAACGTCTTTCAAATGTTGCCTTCACTACCCTAGAGAGCCACCTCAAACCTTTCCCTAAAGAACCCCAATGCGCAAGAGCCCCGGGGCATCCCCCAGCCCAGGGTTTGGGGGTGTACACCCAGGCACGAAATGTCTTTGAGGTCTTTTTTTATTACCGCAGAGGTAATTTCAATTCTACTCCACAATCTATCCTTGCTGGCGTTAACATAAAAATAGTATTCTAGACTGCTTACTGCCACTGTTTGTTGATTAATCTAAACTTGAAGGTTGAGAGAGAACCTCGTCTTCTGGTCTTGTACCATAGCCAAGCCCTAACTCCGGGTGATAAAGCTACAGGAAATGTCTACTTTCTTTCTTGTGCTTTCTGTATTTTTGATTTTCTCTCTAATGTACATGTACCAATTTAATACTAAAGAAAAGTAAATAAAATTTTAAAATATGAAAAATAACAAAGTTCTGACTTTTGTGAATAGGTTTTAAGGAGGGAAGGGCTTCCCTTCATGAGTGAGTTCCCTGATGATGCTTTCTGGCTGTGCTCCATCTTAGATTCCCAGTGTTTTAGGCAGCGTAATTATGTGAGAAATCCATGTAGTTGAATGAGCACAAGTAATAACAATGAGGATGATGATAATGGCAGCAGCTACTGCTGTTGCGTTTTCACCATGTGCTATTGTTTGGAACTCTTTAGATGTATCCACTTATTTAATCCTTATAAAGCCTTTGGAGGCAGGTCTTATTATCCTCATTTTGCAGATGAGGAAACCAGAACATCGAAAAGTTAAGTAACTTTCCTGGTTGAAACCTCTTTTCTGCCCTGTCTGTTTTCCTTCTGGTTGTTGCTGCAGCATGTGCCCTGGGCAGCAGCACCTTCACTGTGTCACAGTCCCTAAGACTTCTCTGCTTCTGTTCCACGGGACACCTGTGGGAGGCCCTTCTGCCCTCTGGCACCTGCACAGATCTCAGAGTGCAAGGACAGTCTCTGGAGCAGCCCTTGACTCACGAGGGAAGAGGGCTGGGGGATAAAACTTCATTACACGATCCTAAAGCACATTCTACGTAGTTCCCTGGAGGGTCCCCAGCGGGATCAAGCCTCACTGGCCCACAGCAGTCTCTAATTTAGTACCCCTCCTTTGATTGGCTTTTCTTCCTTCCCCAATTTACTTATCCTCAGCCCCCACTCCTGTTCCCTGGAATTATTTTCCAAAATAAATGATCTGTATATAAACATATGTCTCAGGCTCTACTTTTGGGGGGAACCTACGCTAAGACTTTGCCCAAGGTCACACAGCTGTTCAGTTGTGGAGCCCAGACAGGAGAATATTCACTCTGGGTAAACTAATAACAAGCACTGGGAACCAGACTATCAACGCGTCAGTCTTTCTAAGTGGGCATGTGGGTGTGCCGGAGGGTGCACGCACGCTCAGACAGGTCTGGGACTGGGATAAGTACACCAAATGCTAACAGATTTTTGGATTTCTTTTTCCCGTTCCTTATTTGTATTTTCTAATTGTTCTAAAGTGACAGTGTGTTACTTACGTAATGGATGGAGAACATGGTGGCAAACTGATCTTTGCCAGTGTATTCTCATAGACTCGTGAGTTCTTTCAGCAGACGATGGTAGCCACGGACACACTTGAAGTGGATGCGGATTACCTGCTCTCCCACAGCCTCACTATCAGGTTATCACAAAAGCAAGTCTCATGGCAGCGTCTGCCACACATGCAGACTTATTAAGGAAGCGTTCATGAGCAGTCACACGTAAGACAGTCCATGCAGCCTGCTCTGGAAGCTCTCTGCCTGCTTAGGTACTGCAGCCACTCCCGAATGAAAGGTTCACAGGAGGAAGGCAGGAGAACATTCTACATTAGTGGGTTTCAACCTCGAGCTGGCATCAGAATCTCCTGGAGGGCTTGTTAAAGGACAGACTGCTGGGCCCTTCCCTGAGCTTCTAATTCAGTGATGCAGAGGCAGAATTTTGTTACTCTCTCTGATGACGGGCATGAGACAACCAGCAATTCCCAGTGGTGGACACGGAACCATCGAGAGTCAGTCTGCAGTCTGGAGTGTAGACTGCAGGGTGTGCTAAATTCTTTTACCTAAAAGGCAGAAAGGTGGAGAATGTCTCTAAGAGGTTTCAGAGAATACCACTAATGTCGTCCATGAAGAGCCATTTCTCATGATCATTACGCCCCTTAGCAAAGCCCCCGCATTGCTTAAGCTGCAGAGAACTGAGGTGTGCATGGAGAGCTGGAAGGTGGCTTTCCTCCTGTAATGCTAGCTGACTAGCCCGTTGTGTGCAATCCTGGATAGGGCCCCTAGGATATAACATAATGAGCACATACATCGAACATCACCCATCCAAGCTGAACAATTTAGAGTCAATTACAGACAATATTAATGGGAAGGAAAGTTAATTAACAAATCAATGGGCATTTGTTTGATCCCACAGACGGAGCCTGAAATCATAGAGGAAACCAACATCGACAGAGTTAATGAGCCCCGGGGCTACGCCAGGTCGAGGCAGATGAAAGGCCACTCGGAGACCTCCACACTCAGCTCCCAGCCCTCCATCGACGAGGTCAGGCAGCAGATGCACATGCTGCTGGAGGAGGCCTTCAGCCTGGCGTCCGCGGGCCACGCGGGCCAGAGCCGGCACCAGGACGTCTACGGCTCCGCGCAGCACCCGCCCTACTCGGAGGTGGTGACCAGCGCTCCAGGGACCATGACGCGGCCCAGGGCTGGGGTGCAGTGGGTGCCAACCTATCGCCCAGAAATGTACCAGTACAGTCTGCCCCGGCCGGTAAGTCAGACACGCCGCCACTGGCCATCCTTGGTCAGCCTGTCTGGGGCATCCCGCAGGGTCTCAGAGCGGCGCTTCCAGTGATGAGCCTCCTTGCGGTTTGCAGACAAACTTTGCTGGGTTCTCATGGCATCTTCCACCCATGATCCGAGGCCTAAGCCTCTCAGTCCTCTGGGCCCAGGTGCACCGGAAGCCCTTACGTCCAACCACAACACATTTCAGAGCGAAGCTCCTTTCCCACTGTGCCTCCTGTGAAGGGCTGACCTCATTCTTCATGCACTGGTGGTTTCCCACCCACCATTTTAATGTCAAAACTCATCACAGAGCCGTATGTTGGGGGGTGTCGCCTGGTGGTTCAGAGCAGAGGCTCTGGAGCGGGTGGCTGGACTTGAAATCTCAGCCCTACTGCTCACTGGCCTTGTAACTTGGGGACATTACTACAATTCTCTGCAGGTAAAATAAAGAAAAATAGCCTACTTCCTAGGTCGTTGTGAACATTAAAAAGGTAGATATGAGTGAGGTACGAGAAGAGTGCCACGCACACGGTCCACGCCACGGGAGCATCAGTTGTGACCGTTTCATTAGTGGCGATTGCACCTCAGTATCTGAGAAGGCACCCAGTGACTGAAAGCTTCCATGATTTAAACAACAATTTTAATTAGTTTGCATTTCGTTCATCACTGTAGCATCTATATATATCTTATTGAAAAGGTGGACCTAGTTTTATAAGCCATAGGCCATAATAGACAATGTTTTGTGCATGTACAGATCCCACCATTGCAGTGGTCCATGCCGTCTCCCCATGGTGCTATGTAATTATGTAATTAAAGCCGACGTTTCTTGTCTCACTGTTGTTGGTACTGATCCAGGTGTCAGGTGTATGTTAGCTTACTTATTTAGCCCTCGCTGCAAGCCTCTGAGAGGGTGAATATTTTATCCCTACTTTATAGATGAGGAAACTGGGGTTACACAGCTTGTTCAAGTCACACAGCCAGGAAGGGGCAGAGCTGGGGCCGCAGGCCAGGCAGCCTGGCGCCTGAGCCCGTGCTCTTAACCAGCATGCCGTTTGGCCTTGTGCTTTGGTACATTGCCTCTCCATTGTATTATTCCCTTCATTTGCAGTAGACTATTTGGGACACCTCGGGGCTTGTGAAGCCTTGTGATAACTTCATACCGCCGCCCCCCAAAGTCCATGTGACACTGGCACTTAATGAATTGCTGTTATGCTGCATAACTGCATAGTGTGCACACTATTGTGAATTTCCTTACTGTTCTCCTTTGCTCCAGATCCCCCGTCCATGTCATTGGGATGGCTCCCCTTGACATTGCTCCTGGTCCGCTCAGCCTCTCTCTGTCGGTACCCTCTTTCAGTGTCAGTCTGTAGCCTAACCTTTCCCTGTGGATTAAGCTTTAGCTGGAGACATGGAAGTTTATTTCACACTGAACCTCTGGTGCAGGGGCAGCTGTGCTTAGGTGGGGTCATCAGCACAGCAAGGCTGTGTCCATAGGTTGGCAGGTACAGAATTTATATTTCGTGCATTCACTCCACAGTGGTCAGACCCCGGGAGTCTGATGCATGCCGATTAAGCTCACAACAGTGCTTTATTCTTATGAACACTAGCTTAGAACCCTGCGGTGAGAAGCCAGATGGTCAGCGCGGCCAGAGCACTTACATTTGCTGGTCATCATGGTCTTTCATTAAGTAGAAGTAAATTTGGGGAAAGTAAGACGTTATCAGAAGGAAGTCATCTTTCTCCGTCTGTGACACACAAACCCAGAGAGTGTGGTCAATAAAGGAAATAGGGTGAACACGGGAAATCGTTTTTGCATCCTATTTTCTGAGATAGGGATGGAATGCAATGCAAAATTCTTAATATAATTTTTAAGCTAAAATAGGAAACTTTGGGGCTATGCCCAGATCTCAGGAAGATGAGTTTGCCTCTGCCATCAGGGTACCAATTTAATAGGCAATTAGTAGAAATCTGTCACCTTAAAATACTTTCCCATGACACTCATGTTACAGTTTCCACAATTACGCTTTTCTATTAATTGCCCATTAAATTGATACCCACTTTATGGGGGAAGAAGGGATTTTCTCTCTGAGCTTGAGACTACACCCTAGTCTCACTACACTTATCAGCACCTCTCAAGTGGCTGTCCCTGGGAAAAGCTGCCTGGATCCATTCTACGTTGATTCACACCAACTCAGTTTCACAGGCTCGTCCTTCCTGATCTTGTGCATTGGCCACGGCCCTGGATTTCCCTCACCCCACAGTTCAGTGCTGCTAAGCCGCTAAGTGACCTCAGCCACTGACTATAAGTCTGAGTCTTAGAATCTAAGTGGTTGCGATAACAGGGCTGCTGTGAGGAAGAAATGGGAATCCGTGTAAAATCCTCAGCACCTGCCTGGCACCTCGCGGCTCCAGTCCCTGGTAGCTGACGTTCGTCAGAGGGCTTCATCTGGTGCCCAGCACATCGAATTAGTCGATAGATGGTAGTCATTACTATAAAAAATTCTCCTTCTCATTGAAAGGAAGTGAGACTCATTTCATTTTCCCCCACTGGTTGTGTCCCTTTCCCTGACAGTTCTGAGCATCTTCTCTTCCTCCTGCTCTGTTACATTCTTTTAAGAGCGTGCTCTGGAGCCCAGAGAAACTTCACTTCTTTAAAGACGATCCTCCAGAACAAACAGACGCCTCTGTGTAGAGGCTAGATTCTGGGAATCTGTGAAGGGATCTGGGTTTCACAGAGAAAAACCTAAACAACCAGGATGAGTCTTCCAAGGACAGGCAAGAAGATGCCACAACCCATCCATTATGCCTCAATTTAACAAAGCCATCGAAAACTTTCGTTTGGGACATATAAAAATTTAGATGGTTATGTTTGTTGTAATTCAGGGTTGGCAATTGTACCAGGAAGGGCAAAAACATCAACATTATATACTTTAAAAATGAGGCCACTGGGGCTGGCCCAGTCATGTAGTGGTTAAGTTCACGCACTTCTTTGGCGGCCCAGGGTTCACAGGTTCAGATCCCAGGCATGGACTACACGCTTCTCATCAGGCCACGCTGTGGCAGCATCCTATGTACAAAATAGAGGAAGACTGCTATAGATGTTAGCTCAGGGCCAATCTTCCTCACTGAAAATAAATAAATAAATAAATAAATAAATAAATAAGGCCAGCAACAAATGGAGGACTTGAGAAATAACACAACAGAGAGATGGGCATCAAACCAGAAGAATATCAAAGGCAGTTCTTTTGTTACAAAGGTTTCCTTTTGCCAACAACACATGTGGGCCATATTTTTATGAAAGGAGAAAATAGGTAACGATGCGCAGTAGAAATTATGATTCTTAACCCAAGTTCTTGCCAACCCCCTTGTGCTATTATAATGTGGAAATCAACAGAAAAAGTGGCAGTTTAGAGTGATAACTATGATTACTTTTCGGCTTCAGAAAGGAAGCATGTCGCGCTCTGCCATGGGGCAGCTGAATGCACTCGGCCAGGCTGCTGGCATCCATATGACAGGACAGGGGCCGCCGGCAGCCTGGGATTTCTGCAGCGCAATTCAGGAGACTCTTGATCCTATTTACCCCTTGAATCTGTGAACATATTGGACTCAACACCGAATGACCCGTCCAGTTTTGCTAGCAGCTGTAGTAGGTCTGTGTCAGGTGGAATGAAAACATCCTACAGCTTTCCTGTTGGTGTCAGAGTCGGGGATTCCGAGGAAGGGGGCAGAGGGAAAGCATCTCCCAACTAGAGGCTTTACGTGTGGAGCTGACAGTAATAGTAATAACAGCAACAGCAGCTGCCATCTATCGAGCTCCCACTGTGTCCCAGACGCCAAGCTCAGTGCTACGTGGACATTCTTTCTTCTAATCCACCAACCATGCTGTGGGGTCAGTGTTACTATCTCCTTGTACTCAGTGAGGAAACCGAGGCCTGGAGAAGGAAAGAAGCTTGCCCAAGGTTACACAGCTGGGCAGGGCGGGACTGAGGTTGGACCCGAGAGCTGTCAGCTTCCAAGCCACGCGCTTTCCTGCCCCGGCCAGCTGAGCCGTGGGCATGTCCCCCAGGCTCTGATGTGAGCGCCAATCTCCCAACCTCAGGTGTGGCCTCATAAGGAAGCTTGCCTAGTCTGCAGGGATTTCGTCCATTCCTCTCACTGCCCTTTGTAAGGGAGACTATTAGGACGAAATTAAGAATTTTACCACCTCTTTTCCTCCTCTCCTCTCAAAAACAAAACAAAACAAAAAGTCCCCTCCCTAAACCTTTGTTAATGATGAGATATGCAGACATAGCGGGTATGAGTTTGCATCCACCGCAATGCTTAGGTTCAAGAAATGTTACATTTCTTGTGTTTCTCCAAATACATTAGAATCTGCTCTGAGCTCCCATCTGGCCAGGTGGGTGGGAAATTCAATTATTATTGGGCTCCCTCTGCCTCTGGTTGCACAAAAGTCATCGGCAGTTTGGCGAAGCTGGAACACCAGAATGTCTGCCCCAGGCACTGTGGGTGAGGATGAGCCAGCTCTCAGGAGTCCTTGAAGGTAGGTCACTCTTTCATACCTGGGCCAGCCTGGGCGTGGGGATCTTCACCTCTGGACTGCCTGAGAAATCGCCTTTGAAAACCAACTGAGTACCCAACATCTGGCAAATGCATACCCCTCTGAGCTTAGACAAATCATTCAAATGAGTAAAAACTAGTTTATACAAGAAGGCTGCATGGGAAGGGAGCGAGGGAAGGAGGAGAGGAAGTCTAGAGAATACTTATCCCAAGCTCAGGTGTGCAAGACACATAATCTTCTCCACGAACCAAAAGTTCAGTCTTGGTCAGTTCAGGGTGTCCCTCCCTATCCCTGGGTTAAGCTTCTTTTGGGGGTGGGGGGCTACATGCCTGGTGAAAAGCATGGGGAGGGGCTGGAGACAAGCTTCAGTGCTGGTCCCAGTTTGTCCTCATCTAAAGACTCTGGCTGGCATCCCCAAGCAGCCCTTG